CCTGTATTCCCACTCACTGAACAATCACTAATCAGTGCTTTTATCTATTTTTCTCACTGCATCTATGTGTGTAAAATGAAAGGGCAAACTACTGGGAAATTAGATTCTAAGTTAAACTCTAATGTGCCATCTGTTGACAGAGTTTTAACACCACAGCATTAAATTTCTACTTTCGGAAAATAGTGAGAGCATACTGAGAAGAAGGCTCCAGGAAATGAAGCTATTTAGTTTGTTTATGAACCTTATTTAACACAGCAGCTTCACATCTAGGCGTTCTTTTTTTTCTCTGTGTGGTGGTGGTGGTGGTGTGTGTGTGTGTGTGTGTGTATGTGTGTGGTGTGTGTGTATGTGTGTGTGTGGTGTGTGTGTATGAGTGTGGTGTGATGGTGGTGTATGTGTGTGTATATGTGTGTGGTGTGTGTGGTGTGTGTGTGTGTGTGGTGTGTGATGGTGGTGTATGTGTGTGATGGTGGTGTGTGTGTGTATATGTGTGTGGTGTGTGTGTGTGGTGTGTGATGGTGGTGTATGTGTGTGATGGTGGTGTGTGTGTGTATATGTGTGTGGTGTGTGTGTGTGTGTGGTGTGTGATGGTGGTGTATGTGTGTGTATTATGTGTGTGGTGTGTGTGTGTGTGTGTGGTGTGTGATGGTGGTGTATGTGTGTGATGGTGGTGTGTGTGTGTGTGGTGTATGTGTGTGTATTATGTGTGTGGTGTGTGTATATGTGTGTGGTGTGTGTGGTGTGTGATGGTGGTGTATGTGTGTATGTGTGTGTATGTGTGTGTGTGTATGTATGTGATGGTGGTGTGTGTGTGTGGGGGTGTGTGTGTGTGGGTAGGTGGGTGCAGATGGCCACTCTCAGAGGCTAGGTCAACAGTGGGTATCTTATTCCCCTTCACCTGACTTCTTCAGACCAGGAATCTCACTGATGCTAGAAGTTAGAGCTCCTGATTAGGCCCCTACGCTGGGCTGACAGCTGCTTTGGGCAGTCCTCAGGACTCACACCTGAGCTTTACCCATTGCCATGTCCACAGCCACCACACAGAGTTGTTTAAGCGAGTTGCTTCATAGCATCTTCCAAAGGCAAAGGACAGCTGCCTGTATTTTAAATGTTTTATGTTGGACCCGTTATTTAGTATGAAGTGTGAGATAGTAGGACTCTACACATTTACTGAAGTGGGGGGGGGGGAGGAAGAGGGATATGGAGAGAGAGAGGGAGGGAAGGGGAAGTGAGGGGAGGAGGGAGAGAAGTTGAGAGAGAGATTTGAGTGTTCCAGGCACCAAATAACAACTGACTGATGCCTTGCTTTTTATTTTGCTGCCCCCTTGTGGCTGATGATGGTGATGCATCGTTCCAAGGCTAGATCCGGGACTGGACAAGAACTAGTTTCTTTATTTACAAAAGTGAATTACTGCCGTTCGTTAGAGGAAATACTATGCACATGGATGCTTTCTCTTGTGTGCCTGCCGCAGACATTTTCTGAAAATCTAGGTCTTCACTGTGAGTTACTTCTAAGGCCCACAGCTTTTTCATACTGCTGTCTCACTCGGGCATACAGCCACCGTCTTTATCCTCTGCTAAGTTTCACGGGACATCAGTGCACAGGCCCCTGTGGCCCAGAGGACCGGAGCTCCTCACCTCCATCACAAATGCCTCGCCCTGTAACTTTCTTGCTGTCTCCCTCCTGACCATCACTCTGAACCCCGTTTAGCATTTTTGCCCGCATTAACCACACTCTAGCCATATGGATCTCAAACATGCCACACTGTCTCACCCCAGGACCTCTGGACATGCTGTCCCTTGCACTCCAAACAGCCCTCCTTCTGCTTGTAACAGGACGGCTCCTTGTGCTTCAAGTTTCAAGGAAGAGGCTCGACTGTATGGCGATCCCCCCTCCCCCCCGTGTGTAAGGAGTTAATGCCTCTCTTTGAGTTTGTTGTTAGTCTGTTTGCTCTGACAGCATCATTCCTGCTTGGTCACCACCGTCTGGAAGGAGCTTGATGTGAATGAGTGGAAAGCAGGGAGGGGGAGGGGGAGGGGTGTGACGCTGCTGACAAGTTTTCTCATTTTACCCCCCACCCCCCACCCCCATGCCATGTTCCTCTCCCCCGCATTTGCTTGCACTCGGGGATGGGTCTTCCTGCAGACCCCCCTTCTCCTCTGGATGTTGGCAGTACACTTCTCCATCCCTGTTCTTACCCCCCCCCAGACTTCCTCAGCCTAGCCACCAGCCCCTCCCCTTCACACACAGGTGCTACAGGCCGGAGCTACCCTAATGTTTGCATCACCATCCCCGCCACTTCATCCCTGACAGGGAGTCTGCTCGCCAACTCCCACCCTGCATCTCTACTTGGATGATTCCCAGCCCTTCAACCAAACCGTGGACCAGGTACCAGGTGTCTGCCACCATCTTCCTGGTCTTCCAGACTCATTGCTTCTTAGGCAATGCAGTAACAATCATCAGGTGATCCTCTGTTGCCAGCTGTCTCGTGATCAAGTGAGACCTCACTTTCAAGACTGCCACCTTGAAGCAAGCAAGACAATTACCCTGAACGTCTCAGCCTCTTCGCCCACCAGGCCAGCAATGGCGGACAGGGGCAGCACGGGCCCATAAATGAGGTCCTTGCGCAGGGAGGTGGGGAAGAGCATATCTGTTTCATTGACCAGTGACCCGTCCTCTAGAGGGAGCTTGACCAACCTGGAGATCAGGGAGACAGCAAAACAGAGTAACAGAGACTGATTATGGGCTGAGGTTCTGTGTATCAGTGTGAGACGGGTAGGTGTTGTGCCATAAAAACACATGGGAAGGAAAAGGGCCAAGAAACAGGTTTAAAGATATATGCCATAAGGTGATGAGTTATGTGTAGCTAAAAATGAAGTACGTGGGGATTATTGAGAAGACCCAAGGTTAAGGTGTGAAGAAGAAACTGTAGACTGTAATGCTTTGAGGGCGGGGCACAGGGGTGTGTGTGTGTGTGAGTGGAGGGTAATCACTGACTCTTTGACCTACTCATGGGACCTTTTCTCCTACTGTGCTGTCTCGTGCAGCCTTGATTCAATAGTAAATGCCTGGCATTATAGTAGCATGCTATGCTGTGATTGGTTGGTGTCCCCAGGAGGCCGGCTCTTTTCTGAGGGGAGACAGAGGGATGGTGGATCTGGGGAGAGAGGAGGTGGGGGGAGAAGCCTGGGGAAGGAAGGAAAGGGGAAGGGAACTGGTGGTGACGTAATATACAAGAGAAGAATTTTTAAAAAGTATTAATTTGAGCAAATCAAATTTTGCAAAATTAAGCATGTTGGAACAAGATCTCAGAGGACTTGGGAAATCAAAGAGAATGTGATGTGTGAGCAGCCACTCCAAACTTATTACAGATGCAGAATACGGTTATAGATTATAATAAGCTCTGTGTGTGTGTGTGTGTGTGTGTGTGTGTGTGTGTGCATGTGCGCGCGCGTGTGTATGTGTCTGGCCATGCTTGTGGGTATTGTATGAAGCCACTTAATTCATCAAAGAGGCCCAGTGATGGTTGTGGATGCAAATGGAGACTGCCACGTGGCTGAGGGATAGCAGAGGCCCCACCTCGTCCTGAAATGATGGTCCTGGTTACTTCGCTCAATGGTCCACACGCTCACTGCACTTGAACTTGACAGACACATTTGGTGCCAGTTCATGGGGTTGAAGGACATCTGGCTCACGTCCATTCCTGGTTGAGATTTCTTGCACAAGATGACATTGGATTCCCAGTTCCTTAGAGGGAAACAGCATTTGAGAAACAATTGCTCTGTTTTAATTTCTTTTCATTTCTCTTTCTTTCTTTCTTTCTTTCCTTCCTTCCTTCCTTCCTTCTTTCCTTCCTTCCTTCTTTCTTTCTTTTTTTTATTATTGCTTTGTTTTCCGAGACAGGATTTTTCTGTGCAACAACCCTAGCTGTCCTGGAGACAGCATTCAGTCTGGCTGGCCTCTCTGCTTCTCTGATCTTTCAGCATTGACCCCCTATATCTGACTATGGGTTTTTATTAAGATCAATTAGAATTCAAGCTAACATGTGACGGATTGTAATTGGTTTTTTGGTTTGTTTTGTTTTGTTTTCCCTCTTTATTCCTAGGGGGCCACCACCCAGCTCCCAAATAAATACACGGAGACTTCACCTTACTTAGGAATGCGCAGCCTCAGCTTGGCTCACATCTAGTCAGCTTTTCTTAACTTACACTGTCCCATTACCTTTCTCCATTCTGTGTGTCTTTCATCACTTTGTACCCAGCGCTGGCTGCGTAGCTGGGTCCTGACCCCTCCTGCGTGCCCGTTCCTCCTTTTCTCACCCCCCCCTTCTCTCTCTCCTATTTATTCCCTCTTCTGCCAGCTCCACTTATTCCTCTCTCCTGCCTAGCTTATTGGCCATTCAGTTCTTTATTAGATCAATTGGGTGTTTTAGACAGGCAAAGTAACACAGTTTTGCAGATTCAAACAAATGCAACATAAAAGAATTCAACACATCTTTGCATCATTAAACAAATACTTCACAACATAAGCGAATATAACACGTCTTTAGCTAATGCTCCATGACACTATATGGTACACCCATCCCTTGGAATAACAAAGGGAACTGTTGAGATACACAGTACTACCAGATTTCCAAACCATGAAAGGTGCATAAACACAGACAGAACAGAAGGTGGTTATATGGCTCCTGTGTGTGAAATGTGTAGAAAAAGCAAATGAGTCTGGAGTGACAAACACACCAGAGGCTGACTGGGGTGAGGGCAGGGTGGGTTAAGAGTGTATGTGACAAGGAACAGGGCTTTGGGAGGTACAAGGAAACTGTGGACAAGGGGTACATTTGTCCTGATTACGGCGATAGTTCCAACGGTGCTTGTAGCAGCCCAAATTTTAACTGTATACACTATAAGTTAACAGTTCAGTATACACCAGATATATGTCAGTAAAGGTGTGTGACTGTGTGTGTGTGTGTGTGAGTAAAGGTGTGTGAGTGTGTGTGAGTGCGTGTGTGAGGGTGTGTGAGTGTGTGTGTATGAGTGTGTGTGTAAGTAAAGGTGTGTGAGTGTGTGTGAGTGTGTGTGAGGGTGTGTGAGTGTGAGTAAAGGTGTGTGAGTGCGTGTGTGAGGGTGTGTGAGTGTGTGTGTATGAGTGTGTGTGAGTGTGTGTGAGTAAAGGTGTGTGAGTGCGTGTGTGAGTGTGTGTGTATGAGTGTGTGAGTGTGTGTGTGTGAGTAAAGGTGTGTGAGTGCGTGTGTGAGTGCATTGTGAGGGTGTGTGTGTGAGTATGTGTGCGCGTAAAGGTGTGTGAGTGTGTGTGTGTGTATGAGTGTGTGTGTGTGTGTGAGTGTGTGAGTGTGTGAGGGGGGCTAAGAATCAAACTCAGGGCATCAAGCATGATTGAAAACATTCTACCAGTGAACTACATCACCAGCCTTCAGTGGAGTACTTCCTCCCTTCCCTTTCCTCCCCCCTTCCTTTTCCTTTCTACTCCCTCCCCAGAGTTTTACACCCAGAGTCCAGGTTGTCCCAAAACTGTATAGCCAGGGCTATCCTTGAAGTCACCACAATCCTCCTATCTCAGCCTCTCATGTGCTGGGATGACAGGTACAAGTCGCCATGCTAGGCTCATCTTTTGGTGGCTCAGCAGTTCAGAGCACTGAACACTCTTTCCGGAGATCTAGGTTCAATTCTCAGAACTCATATGCAGACAAAACACTCAGGAAAATAAAACAGTAGAGGGAAACAAAGTAGCACGTAAATTAAGCTTGGCTCTCTGGACTGGGAATCTTAGATTCTTGTGTAGGTATGCTGGTGTATAAAGTTTGGCCTCAATCATCACAGTCACTTTGTCCTTCCCATTAAAAATAAGAAATCCCAACTCCCCAGAGAGGTTTTTGCCATAGATGGAAGAGAATGCATCTACAGAGTTGGCCACATGGAAAGGTCCACCACAGACACACCCATGTCTAACCCACAGGTTTCTCTACCCAGCTGACCAATGTGGTAGAAGTCCCACTCTGAACACCCTGCTCCAGAGTCACTGTCAACTGCTAACTGTGAATACACAGACATTCCTAATGTCAACACAGGCAGAAAACATGCTAAGGAACCATGTGCTTTAGGGGAAGATGAAACTTTATGTACTTAGAATCATTTTTTTTTCCCACCTGGGTAAGGGAATAATGCGTGTGGTGGTCTGAAAGCAAATGGCCCCCAGAGGGGGTGGCACTACTAGGAGGCGTGGCTTTGTTGAAGAAAGTGAGTCACGGTATGGGCACACTTGGAGGTCTCTTTTCTTAAGCTGCAGTCAGTGTGACAGTCAGTCAACTTCCTGCTGCCTTCTTGTCAAGACACAGCCAGAACCATGGCTGCCTGCAGGCTACATGACCCCTGTCGTGATGACAATGGACTGAACTCTCTGAGGCTGTAAGTGAGCCACCACCACAATGAAATGTTTTCTTTGCAAGAGTTGCTGTGGTCATGGAGTCTCTTCACAACAAAACAACAACAACAAAAACCAAAACCAAGCAAACAAAAAACCCTAAGACACTGCACATGTCACTAAAAAGGGAAAGAGGCTAATTCTGCTGTCACAGATTTTGCCCTGACAAATTTCATACCCGAGCATAAAAATGACACTAAGTCATGTGACTAGGATGTTCATTCTTCCCAGCTTCCCTTGTTTGGGACTTTGGTGTGTGTCCCCTTTGGTGGAGTCCAGCAGGGGAAGGGTTAGGGTTAGGGTTAGGGTTAGGGTTAGGGTTAGGGTTAGGGTTAGGGTTAGGGTTAGGGTTAGGGTTAGGGTTAGGGAGTAGCGTGGGCTGCTGACTTACCAGAGGGCCAGCTCAAACTCCGGGAGAGACGAGTAACTGGCTAGATAGGTACCACAGTAGCTGAAGCTAAGTAAGGTGTAGTCCAGGAGGACATTGCCTGAAATAGAAAATCCATGACAGGGACTTAACTGTCACATCCAGATGAGCTCACAGCCTCCTAGTGATTCCCATGTACTTCTAAAGTACTTTGCTAGGAAGTAAGTGATCTTCCGGCCAGTGGCTAAGATTGTGAACGATCTTTTGTTGGTGGTAGTTTTTGTCTTGTTATTTTCTTTCAAACAAGGCCTTTTATGTAGTTGCAATTAGCTTCAAAGTCATGATCTTTAGACTTTGCCTGATTTGAAATGGATGCCCCTTAATGTCTCATAAATATGAGACATTGGAAGTAGAACAGTTATTCAAGCTTCAAGTGTCTTAGGGGGTTGTAATATTTCTAGATAACATATGAAATGGTTTCTTCCAGTTCTTAGACAACTTTCTTTATATGTCTAGCTGAGGAAATGCATCATTGCTTTTAAAGCCTTAGTAATTGAGATGTTTACAAGGTAGCTCTTGGGGAGACAGCATGAAGAACATTCTCATGTCTGTCTCGAAGGGAAGGGACAGGGCTGAGTTTTTCCTCACTGTGGTTGCTTGGGCCCAAGGTCAGCCTTGATATTTGTGCCTATTTGTTTGTCCTAAGTATTTTAATGGCTGTTTCCATTTTCACACTTCGTGTGTGTGTGTGTGCATGCGTGCGCGTGCACGCGTGCGTGTGGTGTGACATGGGTACAGATGCCTGCAGAGGCCAGACAAAGGCTGTCAGATCTTCAGCTGGAGTTACTGGGGCTGTGAACTTGTGGGTGCTGGGATCTCAGGTCCTCCGCAGGGGACACAGGTGCTCCTGACTGCTGAACCATCTCTCCAGCCCCGTACTTCCCATGATAAACTGACTCTAGTGTTCCTTGAAGTGTGGCTTTGTCATTACATTCATTTAACATGGCCTAATCACCAAAAAATATGTATTGAGCATGTAATGAAAATGGGATAAGACCTTAATACAAGCATTTTATATCTTTCCTTGTTCTATCAACAACATTAATATCAAGTAAGTTCTAATTGTTATATAATATATAAATATTATTATACATTCAAAAAATTTAAATATATGATGCTTTGAAGAGAATTTTTAAAAGCCTAGGAAGAAAAAAATATGTATTTTCATGAGCCTAACACCAAGTTGGGTGCGTTTCTTTTCTGCTCTTTTTTCCTCTCAGGCAGTGTCTCATGTATCCCAGGCTGGCCTTGGATTCACTGTGTAGCTGAGGATGGCCTTGACTCCAAATCCTCTTGCCTCTTCCTCCCTAGTGCTGGGATTACAGGTGTGTATTACCATGCTCAGTGGTATGTCTTTACATGTAAAATACATGCAAATATACATTATATATATATAACTTCTCTATTTATAGTTATAGTATATGTTGATTGAATATTGTATATAAAATGCTCCATTAAAAATATAATTTAGATCACACAAGGCATTCTATCTTATTGGTTTTCTTGTTTACACTACATTAAGCACGTTATCATGTTCTTAATATTTCCTTAAAGTTTTGATTGGTAATGCTTGCAATAATAACCCTCATGGGATTTTTAACATATTTACCACTGTTCATACACCAGGGCTGTGGGCTGTTGCCTTTAGAATGATGACAGTGCTTTTAACTCCTCTGTACACAAACCTATAACCATATTTCAGAGTACTGCATGCCATAAAATTGAGCTCTAACTCTCACAGTGGCCCCAGAAGGGCTCTACTGGTTTATGCTCTCACCCCCAGCAAGCAAGAAGCTACCAATTTCGCCATACTCTCACTGGCTCCAAAACCCTGAACCCAGCTGACGGAAACAAAGCCCCTGGGTTTACACACACTACAAAACTGTCTTCACCTGTGTGCTGTATGCTTGTGTTTGTGTGTGGGTGAGCATGCACCTGTCAGAGGGCACCCGGGTGGGTCGATTTCTCTCCTCCCGCTTCTATGTGGGGGCTGGCTTTGAACTCTGTTCAGCAGGCTTGTGAAGCAATACCTTTTGTCTGCTGAGCCATCTTGCTGACCCTAAGCAGTCAGAACATTTTAATGCAATTCTTCATTTATGATTTGTGAACTGTCTGGGAAAGTTCCTTGTCATTCACTCATTCCTATGAGATGATGAGATGTCAGTCTTTCTTTACAGCTTCATAAATGCTGTGAGGACCTTTGATCATACTTTTTTTTTTTTTTACCATCTATTGTCCTCGTTCTATTATTTGATGCTAATTTTGTGATATGACTATTGTTTTACATTTGTTAGTAAATATGCCCATCCTTTTAAATAGTGTACTAGGTTCTTCCCCAACCTGAAATATTTTCTACTACTCAAATGGGTTTGCTTCTATTGAATCCTATTTTCATGGGGGTATGTGTTATGTGTAGGATGTCTATCTTGACATGTTAATTCAAATATTCAATTTTTCTTAACATCACTGTTGAAAATCCATATCCCTTGTAGTGTGAATTTCTTCATCATAGAACTCACTTTTCTGGATCTAGCTTTCTTCACACCTCCACTGATCTGGGGGTCTCCACAGGAACAACACTGTCCTAATTCCCTGAGCCTTTCAAAGTTACAAAGACCCTCTGCCTTTCATTTGTTTCAGAAACACATGGGAATTATTTAAGTACTCCCTGCTCTCTAAAATAATGACCTCATGAGTGACTTTCTGTGACAAATATTAAAAATGCATTTATTTATAACAATAATAATTTCTATCCTGGAATATGTCTCTATGGAATTATATATTTAAATATATAGTGTACAACTTTTTACTTAATATATATTTAAGTCTGGATCACTGATATGTCTGAATTATTTCTAAGTATTTAATCTACTTGTGTGGGCATTTATTCTGAAGTCAGTACCCTTGCTAAGCACCCCTTCTTAAGTTCCAGTGGACTATTTCTGTCCCACAGCTACACATTTCTGTTAAATGTTTTATTGTATTGGTTAGATCTATACACTAAATGACACTGATGATAATGGGTGTCCTTGATGATTTGTTTTTATTGTGAATTCTTCTAGGGATTCCTTATGCAATATGGATGTTGTCTTCTGGTTTCAAATAATGTCCAATTGCTTGCCCAGGGCTGGGGGCATCTTTTCATTTTTGTTGTTGATGTTGTTTTTTGTTTGTTTGTTTGTTTTGTTTTGTTTTTGAGACAGGGTTTCTCTGTGTAGCTTTGGCTGTCCTGGAACTCGATTTGTAAACCAGGCTGGCCTCGGACTCACAGAGATCTGCCTGCCTCTGCCTCCCAAGCACTGGGATTAAAGACATGCACCATGTCTGGCAAGCTGGGGGCATCTTAAATATGAAGTGTGGCTATAGTCTACACAAACAGTCCCCTACTTATGACTGGGTTATATTGACTGGATGATGTTTTTATTAAGGTAGCTTAATGTATGAAGAACACAGATTACTCCAGAAACAACATGTAAACTACAGTGATGGTGTCTGACTGGATCCAAACACCTGTTTGGCCCACATGATTCTGAAACTAACACGTGATTCTGAAACTAAGGCTCCTCCAGGAATCAGCTTCTTGACCTTGCTGCCTGTGGATTTGTCCTTGTTATTTAGTTGGAGGCAGGGTCTTGCTTTTAGTTCAGGGTGGTATTACACTCTGGATCCTTCTTCCTCTGCCTCCCAAAGAATGGGTTACAGATGTGTGTAATCACAACACTCAGATTCAGGTTGTGTTAAATGGGGGCAGGCAAGTCCATGGAGGTCAGCTGTATCTGTGAATGACTTAACAGTAATACAAAAATAAAAGTAACCATGGACTAGTGCTTGGTGTATGTGTGCACACGCACATGCTTGCACACTCACGTGTGCTCCTCTAGCATCACCACAAATGAAACTTTGAACAACATGTTTAGCACCATTTTGTGGTTAAGAACAGTGGGTTTAGACTTGTGTTTATTAGTTACACAAGCATCAGAATTCCGACAAGTCACCTGGAAAGATGAAGAAATGTTGTCCCTGAAAGGTCAATTTTCTAACCCATGTTTCTCACAGTTTAAAACACTCATGAATCACCTGAGAACTATTGTTAAAACTAAGGTGATGGTTTGGTAGGTCTGGGGTGGGAGCTGATTTGTACATTTTTGAGGGAGTGCTTGTTTTTCTAACTTGCCTAGGCTAGTCTCTAGCTCTTGAGCTCAGATAAGTCTCCCTTTTCCGCCTCTAAGTTTCAGGGTGCACACAAGGTTTGACCACTTCTATCCAAAACAGCCCTTTTGTAATACAAAACACCTTCATTTGGAAGAACTAGATTTGCCCACATAACAACATTCTTCAGTTGTCAGGTGTGGTGGTGCTGTAACCCTTTAATCCCAGCTGTCAGGCAGTAGAGGCAGGTGGATCTCTGTTTGAGGCCATCCTGGACTACAGAGTTCCAGGACAGCCAGGGTTATACAGAGAAACCTTGTCTTGAAAAACCAAGCCAACCAGACAGACAAACAAACAAACAATCCTTCGGTTCCAGGGGTGGGAGGGTGGTGTGGGGAGGGTCTCCCAGATACCTTTTAATTTGTTTTTTCTAGTCAGTGCAGGAAAGCTGTATATGTGGATGATGGGTTTTAGTCTTCGGTCAGAGAAAGCCACAACTTCACCAGGAACGTTAGTTGTGACAACGCCCACAATTCCATTAATACACTGGAGCACAGTCTTCTTCTTGGTCTCAAGGTTAATGAATATTACGTAGTTCCCAGAAGGGTAGCAGATGGTGCAGTCGTTGACGAAATGAACATTCTGACTGGGGAATCCTTGCACCCATCTTTGAGAAAAGAGAGATCACCGTCAGTATAATACATTTGCTTTTCCTTTTTAACACATCGACTAGAAACCCATCAAAACCTTTGGAATACATCCGTTCCTTTTTTAACTCCCTTTCCGCTCCAATTGCTCAGAGAAACACACACACTCACTGTGAGACCAGCATGAGCCAATGAGCTATAGACATTTAAAGATCAATAGGTCTTGGGTCAGCTCTTTAGGTAAAAAGAAGCTTGCAAATATATGTATGTAGGTATATGTATACACACACACACATATGTATACACACGCGCGCGCGCACACACACACACACACACACACACACACACACACACACACACCATGCATACCAATATGCATAAATCCGGAGTGAGAGGGAGGAGCAGGAAGGGGTCACAGGGATGGGAATCGCCTGAGGCGATGCTGGTGAAGAGGGGTTGAATGTGCTGGAGCCAGGGGTCTGAACTTGCAGGGATACCGGGGCAGGAAGAGAGCGCAGAAACAAAGGATGGAGGAAAGCAATACTGCGCAAACAAATGAGGGTCCCTGCAGCAGGATGGCGGTGGGGTGGGGTGGGAAACTGAGGACCGGTCATCCGGGGAGGAAACCGGGGAGGACTGAAGAGGCTGCCAGGCGGGTCTGCAGGGGGAACCGAGGGGTGGGGTGGGGGTCCCGGCGGGGTTTCCTGGAGCCCCCCGCCCCGCGCGCCCGCGATGCCGCACCTCACGGACAGGGAGGCGCCGATGAAGTGCGTGGAAACATCTTCGCGCTCTCGGCCTTGCGCCATGGCCACTCTCAGGCCACTCAGGGCCGCGGCCGTTACTCTGGGGTCCTGCCGGGTCGGGCTTAGGCACCCGCCGAGACGCCACTGTTTACACCCGTATCCCGGAGACCGGAGCCCCGCGCCCATTGGCTGGCGGCCACGCCCATAGGCGAAGAGGGAAGCGAGGGGTGGTACTCCTGTATGTGGACGCTGGTTCTGCCCCAGGCAAATAGTTTCGGTATTAATAAATGTCAGACAACTCTTAATTTTGCATGCTGCCCCCGCCACGCTGCTCCTAGCGACACGCCGGGAAATATTTCATTTATTTCTCTGACTGGCTGAGCCTGCTTCCCCCCCCCCCCAAAGAAAAGTGAGAAGCCTGAGATTACAGAACCCAGGGCTGAAGGCCAGGTCAGAATCCAAAGCGCCAAGGACTCAATGACTTTCAGGCGTCACCTTTGATACCACAGGGAGGCAGATGGAAGCAAGCTGGCGAATGATAGATCATGCTCTTCTCGCCTCATCGCCTTCTTCCTCCTATCTAATCCTTTTCCTTCCTGGGGCTTCTCCCTCCTTTCTCCAGCTCTTTCTGTCCTACCCAGCCACTGTCAATGTAAATCAGCAAACAAAACAAAACCCAAACAGAGGCTCTCCAAAGAAAATAATATATATTTGGGAATGGCAGAGTATGGTCCCAGGAACATCCACAACATAACTGTGTTACAGTCTGCAGGGAAAGGTACCCTGGCAATCAGGAAAGTCATCCCGTGCTGCAAACCTCATCCAAGAAATGTGCTGGGAGCGAAAAACCCAGGAGGGTGGCTGCCTCTGCTCTGGGGACAAGCAACAGGGAACTGAGCAGAAGGTAGGCTTTGTATAGGGTTTCTTAGAGTTTGGGGCTTTTCAGGGTGGCCTGGGATTGCTGGGAATTTTGTGGCCTGATCTTGGGGCAAGCTCAGGGATTTGTGGGATTTTTTTTTTTTTCTTGGGCTTAGGGTCAAGTCAGGGTCAGAGTGGTCTTTCCTTGGGGGGGGGGGAGGGTTGGTATCAAGTAAGCCTGTTCTCTCCCTGGCCACTTTACCTTACAATAATAAACTATGAGTGTGTATAAGTAGGTTGAAGTATGAAGATGTTTTAAAGGACAACAAAGAGTATATCAAATATTTGAAACACTAATCCACAGCTACAATGTTTAATAAAGAGAATGATGAGGTAGGGCAGAAAGACAGGCATGGGAAAGAAAAGGACCCACTAGCTCGAGTCTGGCAAGTGAGAATCAAATGTTCCAACCCATTATCACATGCATGGGGCCTTATTCCCTTCCAGCTGTAGAACTGAAGTTTTCTAAGACTCTCGTCAGAATTTGCCTTCCCAGTACAAGGACATGTCTAAGCCCCCTTGCGCAATCCTAGTGGCCTATGGTCATACCTCATCTTTTTTTGTTTTGCTTTTTGAGACAGGGTTTCTCTGTGTATCTTTGTAGACTAGGCTGGCCTCGAACTCACAGAGATCCGCCTGCCTCTGCCTCCCCAGTGCTAAGATTAAAGGTGTGTGCCACCACCGCCTGGTGCATACCCCATCATTTAAACTCCATTTAAGGCATCTCCTATAATCTCATGTATCAAGAAGAAAAAGAAAAAGAAAAGAAGTGTGGTTTTTAGCAGCCTTTTAAGATGCAGCTTCAGAGCTGCCAAAATTGTATATGAAGTTACTACTAAGACACTCAACTGGAACTCTCGTGGGAATCCCGCACCCACGCTAGGCTGCTTTATTCTTCCGCTGGGGATCTTTCTTTCTCTTTAAGCCCTGTACTTAAAACTCTATGCTAAAGGTGTTTTAATAAACTCTTTTTTTGAGAAGAAGCACAGTCTTGGGGTGCTTCATTCCTTCAGTTCTTTCTTTCTGTCCAGTTCTGTCTTTATTTTTCCTTTACTACTTATATATCCCAACAAAATCTTTCAACCAGTATAAAAACTACAATATGGTTACATTCTATTTTTCAAGTCAATGATTTCAGTGAATATAGGTAAAAAGCAAACAAACAAACAAAAAACAAACATGTCTACCATTTCCCTTGCATGGTTAAGCAATGCCATCCCAAGAACCCCACATGCATTCATATCTAAGTAATGTGCTATAGATTAACAGAGTGTGAACAGCAGGGCATTTTTCTCAGTTAGTTCTATTACTGGAAGGCTGCATATCGTGCTTACAAAGAAAGAAACTATCACTTTATTACTTATCTTGAAAGGTAATCTTATAAGGAATCTTAAAAGAATCAATCACAAACTTAAATTTTTATATATGAAAAGCGCTCTACTTTAAATTTTTAGGGTGCATTCCCACTCATCAACAGTTTTTTTTTTTTTTTTTTTTTTTTTTTTTTTTATATTAGGAAGCTGAGGGCAGATGTTAAGTGTAGTTTTTCCCGCCAGTCTTTTCCCTCTGCCGTGCCAGAGCCAAATAACACACAAAGACTCTGTATTAGATATAATTCTGTTGGTCTGTTACTAGCATTTCTTATTGGCTAGCTCTGTCTTAAATATTAACTCATTTCTATTAATCTAAGTACTTCCACGTGGTCTTATCTTACTGGAGAGAGGGGCTGGCGTTCTACTCTCTCCGTCCTCCATCTTGAAACTCCTCCCTACTACTTCCTCTCTCCTGCTAGTCTCCTAGTCCTGCCTATCTTGCTTTCCTATTGGCCAACAGTGCTTTATTCATTAACCAATAAGAGAATCATATTTAAAGAATGACATCTCTCATCAGGTAGAAATGGGTGCATGGAATTAATCATCACCTTTGATCACCAACCAATCACAGCAAGAAAGGCAGGTCAGCTCAAAGTAATTGGGCTGCTTGGTCTTGTTCCCTGACTGTCCAAAATTCCCTCACTCAACCATGTGCCTTTCTAAAATCTTAGATGGTCTTCTTGTTTTTTTAACCTTCAAGATATTTAACAAAAAATATCTTAATCAAAGCTTTGTTTTGGTTGTGATGCACTCTGAAACCTGTGATCACATCTCCTTAGCATTAAGATGACAAGAATTTAAGCTAGCTGGGCTCCTGGTATTCAAATGTTTTTCTTAACTATTAACCTAAGCCACGGTGTCTCCAGCTTCTCAGTACAAACTCATGTTCTAGCTGTGTGGTGCTCCCTAGTGTTATTTTCATTTATTTATTTATTTATTTATTTATTTATTTATTTATTTAGTGGCAGTAAAGCTTTTATTTATTTCTTTTTCTTTTACGTACCAATTCCAATTCCCCCTCTCTCCCCTCTTTCCACTCCGCCCACCTTCCATTCATCCCAACTCCCACCACCACGTTGAGCAGGGCCAAGGCCGTCCCCACTGTGTCTAGGCTGAGCAGGGTATCTCTTCATAGGAAAAAAGTTCCCAAAAGTCAAGTCAACTCATGCATTCGGGATAGATCTTGGTCCCACTGCCAGTGGCCCCATAAACTGGCCAAGCCATGCATGTCGCCTGCTGTCAGGGGGTCTAGTTTGGCCCTATGCAGAGTCCAGAGTCAGTGAGCCCCCACCAGTTCAGATCAGCTGTTTCTGTGGGCTTCCCAATCCTGGTCTTGACTCCTTTGCTCATACGATCCCTCCTCCCTCTCTTTGACTGGACTCCAGGAGCTCAGCTCGGTGCTTAGCTGTGGATCTCTGCACTTGCTTCCATCATTACTGGATGAAGGTTCTATGATGACAATTACAGTAGTCCTCAATCTGATTACAGGAGAAGGCCAGTTCAGGCACCCTCCCTCTTAACTATTGCTTAGAGTTTTATCTGGGGGCCATCCTTGTGTGTTCCTGGGAATTTCCCTCGTGCCAGGTTTCTCCATAATCCCATAATGACTCCCTCTATCAAAATAATGCTTTCCTTGCTCTCCCTTTCAGTCCTTCCCCCAACTTGACCATCCTTTTCCCTCATGTTCTCCTCCCCATCCACTGTACCCGTCTTCTCTCCCCTTCCACCCACTTCCTCCCTCTCACACACCCAATTTACTTAGGAAATCTTTATTTTCCCCTGCTAGGCCGATCCATGCATGTCTCTCAGGGTCCTCATTGTTACCGCCATAGCTTCTCTGGGATTGTGAGTTGTAGGCTGGTTACCCTTTGCTCTACAACTAATATCCTCTTATGAGTGAATACAATACCACATTTGTCTTTCTGGATCTGGGTTACCTCACTCAGGATGGTTTTTTCCTAGTTCCATGGATTTACCTGCAAATTTCAAGATGTCAGTACAATGGAGTACTGAGTAGTACTCCATTGTGTAATGTATCACATTTTCTTTACCCACTCTTCAGTTTAGGGGCATCTAGGTTGTTTCTAGGGTCTTGTTTTTATGAATAATACGGCTATGAACATAGCTGAGCAAATGTCCTTGTGGTATGAGAGTGCACCCTTTGGGCATACGCCCAAAAGTGATTTTGCTGGGTCTTGAGGTAGATTGATTCCCAATTTTCTGAGAAACAACCATACTGATTTCCAAAATGTCTGCACAAGTTTGCAATCTCACCAGCCATGGAGGAGTGTTCCTCTTACTCCACGTTCTCTCCATCATAAGGTGTCATCAGTGTTTTTGATCTTAGCCATTCTGCCAGGTGTAAGATGGTATCTCAGACTTGCTTTGGTTTGCATTTCCCTGATAGCTAAGGATGTTGAGCAGTTCCTTAAATGTTTCTCAGCCATTTGAGATTCTTTAGTTGGGAATTCTCTGTTTAGATCCATATCCCATTTTAAAAACTGGATTATTTGGTATTTTGCTGTCTAGTTTCTTGAGTTCTTTGTATAGTTTGGAGATTAGCTCACTGTCAGATATGGGGTCGGTGAAGATCTTTTCCCATTCTACAAGCTGTCGTTTTTTGTCTTATTGACTAAGTCCCTTACTTGCAGAAGCTTCTCAGTCTCAGGAGACTGAGAATTTGCTAATTGTTGCTCCCAGTGCCTTTGCTATTGCCGAAGTGCCTCCTGTGCCAATGCTTTCAAGGGTGCTTGCCACTTTCTCTTCTTTATTATTTTTAAAATTTAAGTTAGAAACAATCTTAT